GAATGAAAAACACAACAAAACATCAGTAACTGTGACACTTAGAGTGATCTTTTAAACTTTATGGTTATAGTTACAGTTATGGTTCTAAAGTGGTTTCACATTGGAAGTCAGATGGTGACCCAACTTAGTATCAAAATTGTTTATCATATGAAAGTAAAAAAATATATATATATTTAAAATGAAACACTGACATTTTTAAACATTGCTTTTTCATGTTTTGTTTTTCCTTCCCACAACTAATTGTCATCACTCCCGAATACAGTGGGATCCAAAAGTATCCGACCACTGTTGACAATCATTCTAATTTAATATAGATTTATTAATTACAAATTATATTAGCATTATGTTAGCATTGGGTAGCTATTTGTTGTCCAGATTTCTCCATAAGTTTGGCATTGTATAGGCTACCATTGTGATAAATAAGTACACATTAGCATACTTTTAAAAAGAGTAGGCTACTTATAAATAATATAATATATTTAAAACAATGTACTTATGTGCAAACTGAATATAAAGATTCCAAATATTATATCGCATGTTCATTGTAATAAAATTAATATTGATTATAGATTAAATTGATATTAAATACAGTATTTGGCACATTTAAGTAAGACTTAAAGCTACGCAATGCAACTTTTTTTTGGTATGAAATTAAAAATGAGCGAGTACATAAAATCATCTTCCAAACAATTTTTTTCTTTTCATCCTAAGAGTAGAACTTCAGAGTGCTTTCTGACCCACTTATTTAAGACTTAAGTATGTCTTTATAAGTAATTTCATAATTCTATTTTCTTTGAAATATGGTTAAAGTTTACTGCCAAATGGTAAACTAAAATATATGCTCGTAACTTGTATGTCATGTATGTAAACATATTTCTAATTACACAGTTGTAATGATGCAATTGCAATTTGGTGCATTTAAAATATATTAAATTAATTAAATAACACACTACAATTAAAATTATTATCAAGTACTTTGCATGTGCACTTTTTAAAAACGTGTACTTGAGTGTTTTAAGAAACAATTTCATGAAAGTGGACTCTCTTTATAAGGTTAAGTGGCATTTTATTTCATGAATATTATATGATCTGCAAGTACAGTTTTTCTTTTCTTTTTTTAAAAGTGCACATTTAATACAATTAAGCACACTTCTTTTTCACAAGGGTATAAAAAAGGCATTGTAAGTTCATGTATGGCTATTTTCTGATACAACCATACTTTTATGATGAAATCTATTTATAGTTTAAAACATGTGGCTCCATAGCTCTTCTATGAAATCTGCAGTAATTCCACTCAGTATAGGTCATTTGTATAGTTAATGTGGATGTTTTTTTTCTTGGCATATGCTTTGTTTTGTCTCCATCTCTCTCACACACTCACTCATTTCTTGTTCTCTCCATCTCTCTCACACACTCACTCATTTCTTGTTCTCTCCATCTCTCTCACGCACTCACTCATTTCTTGTTCTCTCCATCTCTCTCACACACTCACTCATTTCTTGTTCTCTCCATCTCTCTTCGTCTCTGATGTCTTCTATTTTCTTCAAAAGCTTTCAACACGAGTTGCTGTCACACATAAGAAGATGATACCTGCCATGATCAAACGCACTTGGTCTTTTCCAGACCTCTCCAACACACATAAAAATGCAGACGGATTTACACAAACATTCCCTCACTCACTCCCTCACACATCTATTTTGAGAAGTTTCTCCGGGGATAAAGGCCAGCCTTGGTCAGCTAGACGGAATAGAAACTTTGTGCTGGGTTGCTGTATCTCTTCATCTCAGCAAGGTGTCGGACAAGTCTTTTAATAACAGGCGCAGACTGAGAACTGCCAGACATCACTGCCAGAAATGTGACTGACTATCAATGTGTTCAGAAAGCAGACAGAGGAGAGCAGTATTTCTGCCAACTTCACCAAATATCACCACAGTGATCGGAATCAGAGATACTGCTGTAATTCACAAAACTGTCTACTATAAGCAGCGGGACTCAACCGGTTTTGCTTTAAAACCCAGAGTTTACACTGGACATTAAGCAATTACCCGGTATCAAAGCTGTCTTTAAATTGTAATTTACAAAAAAAACATCCTTAAAATGACCATGAAAACAATATCAACATTACATGCAAATTAAATTGAAATTTTGATTTGTTTCATGCTCCCAGCAATTAAATGAAGAAAATGAAATTAAATGAAGAAATTAATTCTAAACATATGAATTCAAACTTAAAACATGTAAATAAATATCACTTTTCAAATTATAAATAAACATACTATATGTAAAACTGTATGTCAAAATGTAATTAATTCATGTTTATAAAGCAACAATAAATAATAAATCCCTTTTTAAATGCATCTTTTGTAAATCCATTTCCCGATGCTTTTATATGTATTTAAAATCATTCAACTGAATCATTATTTAATATAAGTAATGAAAGAATATTTAATATAAATAATGTTTAAAATGTATTTAAATCTAATGTTTAAAAAAAAATGTACCCCCTTTTAAAATTTGATATTTATTTTTTTATTATATATTTTTATATTGCATTTTATGCAGGGTTATTATAGCTCACTAAAAATAAAAAATAAAACCATTGAAAAAAGTTATTTGAAGTAAAATCAACTTTAACTGAATTAAAATATAAAAATATATATTTAAAAAATAATAATAATTTATATTACTATTTTATTTCAGCTAGTTGCCAAAGCAACTTTTCTCATTTTTATTTACAAACAAGCACAATAAAACACACACAAATGCTAAAACCTTGACTAAAATTAAAACGAAAACAGAAAATATAAATGCAAAAACTAATTCAAAATATTAATAAAAACTATAAGAGCACCTCAAATACTAAAATAAGATACTAAAATAACTCTGATCTTATTATTTGCATTTAGCATTGTTTTCCCTGCTGTCCGTGACGAGAATAGAATTGTGACTCCTTTTTGTTGCAACCCACCAAATGCAGGAACTGCTGCAATAAAGTCTTAATTGAACCTCATTGAAAAGCCTGTGTCACACATTCTGGGACTAGGAGTAAACAATATGTGTCCTGTCACTGAACAGACACTTTTCTATGCTGTGTTTTTCCGGCTCCTGAGGCTGGTCTCTTTCCAGAGTTAACCTAATCCCCGCTTCTGTTCCGCTCGGAACGTTTTGAACAGAATGACGTTGTGTGAAATGTCGAACCCAGTGTCTGGATTTGCCCTCCTTCTGACTGAACCATAGTTCTTCATATCAAAGTCAAATTACAGAGAGATACAGAGAAAGACAATAAAAAGAAGATTTCTCCATTTCACTCAGAAAAATAAATAATTCAATAAATACATTTTTCCTCATTAAATGGATTAACTTCAAAAGAAATGATTTGCACTTCAGACAAATGTTTAAAATGATCAATACTTCAGTTGCATCAATGGATTACAAAAATATTTTATTCAACATTATTTATTCATATTTTATTCGTATAGAGGATGGGGGGAGGTGCAATGTTGAGATCAGATGACCTGTGATACCTTGCAATCCAAACAAGAAAATTATAATAGTCAATTATTGTTATACCTTGTTATTATTATTCTTATTATTATTAATAGTAATAATAAGTGTTAAAGTGTTCAAGATAATGTACAAAACAAACATAAATACGCTATGGCTCAAAAAAATTGGCATTGCTATGATTTTTTTAAATTATATTTTTATTCAGCAAAGATGCATTAAATTATGTCAAATATAATTAAATGTTAATAAAATATATTCAAATATATGAAACATATAAAGATAATATTTCACATTATTAATGTTTTTGACTGTATTTTATCAAATAAATGAGGCTTCGGTAAACATAAGAATCTTTTTCAAAAACCAAAAAACAAAAATCTTACTGAGCTGTAGTTAAAGCCACACAACTTTACTGTGCTGTTTGCAGATGTATGTTGGAACTATGGTTTCGGGAAATGCCTAATTGTTGAATTGCGTCTTTAATGGACCACTCTGTCACGCTGTAAACTGGCCTGTCAATCATCTTGTCACAGTTAACATCCTCCACATTTCATTTCATTTAACTTCCTACCGTATTGGAGAGAAAATAAGTAGTTCGTTGCTCTGCCAGCCGTGGGTTTTTATGCGGTGAACTCTGCTCATATTTTTTGCGTAAAGATGCATTTAAAAGTTAATGGCCAAACAGGTGGATTGTACAATGGAGTGGATTGTGGGCAATATTAGACATTAGAGTGTGCACGGATCCACGCTTCAAAAATCTACCTGAAATAGTAGACCATCCGGGGACTTTTCAACATACTATGCTTTGAGACACACTTATTGTAATCTCGCATATTTTATTTTAGGATAGATAATATGAACATTGGGATGCAGGGATAGTGTGCTGCAGAGATGATGCATTTTTATAGGCCAAACTGGTTGGCATCACCCTTGTTCCCTCGACAGTGTTTTTATACAATAAATAGAAATAGCATTGTTCCACTGGAAATTTTGGATTAAGGCAGAAAATAAGCTCTGAAAATAAGTTTTGATTCAAGTCTATGATTCATACACGTTTTGTTCATAAAGAAGCCTTAATATAATCGGCAGAAGTAAAAAGCCAAATGTACAGCAGGCATCAACATCACTAAACTTCGAACAACTCATTCAGTTTCTGAAAGCAAACTAGTGAGTAGATGAGTTTTACTGTTCAACATGACGACCCCGACAACCTCTGTAGTCCCATTTAGCCACTTATTAGCAGACAACAACTAACTGTGAACTAACAAAAGTGAAAGTTTTAAACACACACACACAACACTAGTGTGAAAAAACTGTGAAAATGTCTTAAACTTGTTAACCACTGGATTTATTTCAGGCATTTAACCAAAAACCCTTTCAAAAAATTAATTGACTTCAGGATGATGGAACCAGAAGATACAAAAATACATCATCCCTGCAACATTCTGTTGAGAGGTCCATTTACAGTACTGCATAGTTAATAGTGCATTGTGATGTCCACGCCATACCATGTTGACAGACTACATGTAAGAATTATTTCAACCCTCTTCCCCTTCTACTACTCAACACTCGGTGAGTGTGTGTGTGTGTGTGTGCATGCAGCAATAAATGCTGCCTAATTAAGCACATAGATCAAATGCCCTCTCCGTGGACCTGTGTATACTGGCACTTGCTCTAGAACATATGCCATGTTGAGTTAATTTCCCTGCTCCACAGAACAAGACAAGCGAGATGCTTCGTGGATCTGACAAAATCCCTACACTTCACGTACAGCACATTAAAACATGTAAAGGCACAGAGATACACAAACACACATGCTGCCTGACATGAGGGTTCTTTAATTAGACCCTATAGTTGATCCTAATTGGCTTGTGCATTTCTAGACTTGGGAGAGCAGGACCAATCAAGCCCATTAGAGGAGGACGCAGGACACAAAAGGTGTATGTGTGTGTGTGTGTGCGTGCGTGCGTGTGTTTTACAGGTTATTTTTGGGTTTTAAGATCTCACACACCCGTTGTGATGGGGGTGAGGCAGATTGTGATTAATTAGTGTTGTAATAAAATGTGATTAATGTGTTTCATTTGAGTAATTAGGCCTGTGTGCATACTGGTGAGAATGTTGTCTGGGCGATGCCTGCAAAGACTGATAGAGATGGTCTGACATGTTGATTTTTTTTATTTTTTATTTATTTATTTTATTTATTTATTGCAATACTCTTACATTTGTTTGCATTGGTTAATGCATTAGGTATCATGAACTAAGAATGAACAATACTTGGTTAATGTTAATTTTCGGTAACACTTTCCAATAAGGTTCATTAGTTAACTACTTTAGTTAACATGAACTAAGCATGAGCAATACTTCTACAGCATGTATCAATCTTAGGTAATGTTAATTTCAACATTTACTAATGCATTATTAAAATCAAAAGTTGTGCTTGTTAACATTAGTTCATGCACTGTGAATTAACATGAACTAACAATGAACAACTGTATCTTCATTAACTAACATTAACAAAGATTAATAAATACTGTAATAAATGTATTGTTCATTGTTTGTTCATGTTAGTTAATACATTATCTAACATTAACTAATGGAACATTGTAAAGTGTTACCTTAATTTCTAATATAAGTACTAATATGTTTTTATTTAACTGCATTTAACAAACATTTCACAATGAAAAATAGTTTGTTTATAAACTAGCATTAGTTAATAAAACAGGGTTTCCCAAATGGAATCATAAAAAAAGTAAAATTAAAGTGAATAAAAATATGAACAAACAAAATACAACACCTACTAAAAGATGTCAAAATATGTTATTTGTTTACCTACATGTAATTTGACCATTAGCCAACATCAGAGAACTGTAAACATGTGAATGTTTTGTTAAATTATTGAAATTATTGAATGTCTCTGGGTAACCATTTTAGAAAAGAAAAAAAATATTTATGTAAACATAAAAATAAACGTATAGAATAATAGTTTAGTATGTCTTAAAACCAAATACACAGGAGCCCGTATTTTCTGTGAAATAAAAATACAATCTAGAATCTAAATCTGGACTATCCAAACTTATTCCAAAGCACCGGTCAGACTGAAACTGGCTGTTATTGGTTCCAAGGTTTAACCACAGCTAAAACATTCAATTCAGTTCACATTCATTTATATAGTGCTTTTCACGATACCATTTCAAAGCAGCTTTACAGAAAATGAATGATTCTACATTACAATTAAGAGTGATCTGTTTATAGAGGTGACTGTGTCAAGGTAATATCCATATGGCAGAAAAGTACAGTTCTAAGATTATACAACTCGTGCAGTTAATGTATGTCATGTATTCATTTAAAGGGATAGTTCATCCAAAAATGAAAATTACCCCATGATTCACTCACCCTCAAGCCATCCTAGGTGTATATGACTTTCTTCGTTCAGACGAATACAATTGGAGTTATATTAAAGAATGTCCTGGCTTTTCCAAGCTTTATAATAGCAGTGAATGGGTGTTGAGATTTTGAAGCAAAATAAAGTGCATCCATCCATCATAAAAAGTGCTCCACATGGCTCCGGGAGGTTAATAAATGCCTTCTGTTCACTATGTTCACGATAGTGTCACTCCAGCGGATGACGTAGGACGTAGGCGTAGCGTACCGGTGAGAATATGCTTGTCTCGCGAAAAAAAAGTTTTGTTTACAGCAAAGGAAAACTCAGTAAATATGAGTAAATCATGGGGTGGTTTTAATTTTTGTGTAAACTATCCCTTTAAGCACAAACAATGAGCAATGATTACATGATGTAATCACATGTCCTAAACAGAAAGCTTGAGAGCACTCTCAATCTTTGCATGATTAGTTCATCGTATCACCCATAATGCTAATTGTAACTTGTAAATGTGACCGTGGATTTAAATTTACCACCAGGAACACATTGAGGGGTTCTATTTACTTTAAGTTTATTCAGTTAAAGTTTTACTATCAAAAGTGTCTTCTCACTTTAATTGACAAGAAGGTTCACAAAATGAACAGGAAAAGATGAAGTAGCAAAATAAAATTTAGATAAACAAAATGAGAGCTTTCACAGAGCTGGTGATACCAGTTAAACCTCCTCACAGCTCTTCATTACTCAGAATGCAATTTTCAAAATGCAAAAAACCAAATACAAAAATCTCAGTGCAAAAAGATGGAAAATCAAAAATACGAGTAATGTAACACGATATCACAATGTTACCATACAATACTGCAGTGGGAATACTGTACAAAGAGAACAAAGCAACATAAGTACATTTTTATATTACCCACTTACACATCATTTGAGGGAAATGAGAGAAAATAACACTCACATCAGAATGAGCTCCTATATAACACCTCACGTTCACTCAACAAAGGCTGAAATCCTCAACATTGTTGTACACTGTCTAGATGTTCACATAAAGAACAAATCACATGAAAAACACAAAAACCATCTACAAAAGAAAGTGTATAATAGTTCGTGAAACACTAAATGAACAGGCATACACCACATGGTGTGACGTCATATCATCGCGGACATTCTACACGACATAACTTTTTAAATATGACAGTTCGCCGAATTAATACAACAAAATATACATCCACAATTGGTATTTATCCAAAATATAATAATAAAACATTGTATTTACCCATGGATGATCGCAAAAACTCCACAATTTCGCTGCACGTCTTACCCAAATGTCCGACGGTGAGAGCGCATGCGTACCGTCTCATTGTGTGTGTGTGTGTGTGTGTGTGTGTGTGTGTGTGTGTAATCTCATAGTGGATAGTGAACATATGTGTCTGCCATATTCCTTCCTAAATCCAGCCTGTGTGTGTTTGCATGCGCATATAGGGGTCAGTAGTGGATTTGTCCCGGGGCTTCACATGTTAGCAGCAAATCTGTGTTGCAGGAGTGATAGATGGTCTATTCTCTGCTGTCACAGGTGTTGTTAGTCTCACTTTCCATAATTTTGATGACAGGGCAGTTTAGACTCCGTCTGTGGCCATAACTTGAGAGAACTTCAGTGTGGGCGATATACAGCGTGATTCGCTCAGCCAGGGCAACACTATAAATCCGGCTACCTGTGATACATGCTGTTTATTAGGCAATGAAATATCATCCAACATGACCAGCGGACTGCGCCGATGGCTTGCTGGGTCCCTGTCTTCCTTGAAACAGTCATTTGAAAATATTTTAGATGTTGTGGCTTGCATACATAATAACATTCTGCTGGGTTTTTTGTTGTTGTTGTTGTTGTTGTTATTTTTGTTTGTTCTGAACATGCAAAACAGTTATTTTTCAAGGAATACTTAGCATTACATCACTTGCTCACCAGTGGATCCTCTGCAGTGAATGGGTGCCACCAGAATGAGAGTCCAAACAGCTGAAAAAAATCACAATAATCCACAAGAAGTCCAATAATTACTTGTCTTGTGAAAATCTGTGTTTGCAAACATTTAAACAAATTCATCAAGACGTTTTTAACTTCAAACTATTGTTTCCGGCTAAAATGTGAGTGCTTTGTCCCTTTCTCCAATGAAAAAGTCATCTTGCCTGAATTAGGAGAGAAATATGCACATATCAATTGACAAGACTGACAGTTGACATGTGAAAACAGTGCAAAACAGCAAAGTATGTTTGTGTATTTTGATGTGAGAGGGCAACATGGGGATGGATTTTTCACTGGAGGAAGCGTTATTAAAGGGGTCATAGGATGCTACATGCACTTTTACAAGTAGTTTGAACTGAAATGTGTGTTGGCAGTGTGTGTACACAACCACCCTATAATGATAAACATCCACCCAGTGTTTCTTTTTTAATCTGGTTAAATGTTTTCCCCTTTCTCAAATCGAGCCGATCTCAGATGCCTGTCTGTGTGACAAAAACAGGCCCCTGCCACGATAGTTTGATTGACAGTGGCGTTTCAGGACAGACTGGACTGGTGTCTTACCTTAGACCCACCCTGAGTGAGCTGTCATCAGTCCGCCATTGTTTCACCGCCGGAGCAGATGTAGACAAGAATGACTCCTAAGCGATTGAGGTGTTCTGTTGTTGGACGTAATAATGAACATAGCAGTCGTCATTTACTCCCGACATCTGAGCCACTGAAGACGCAGTGGATTACATTGTTTCTGAAGGGAATGCGCCCCCGATCTACATAAATGCGTCTATGTTCGCGCAAATCATTCGTGATCCAGCCTCATCTACAGAAGAAGTGAGTATAATGTTTTGTAATGAATCTTTGCAAATCGCTTTTCCTAATAATGTGCTAATTAGCAAGTTTCACGATGAATGCGGCTAAAGTAAACAGTCTCTCTCAGAGCAGCTCAGAAGAGAGGGGCGGGGTCAGCTGAGCTCATTAACATTTAAAGGAAAATGCTAAATTTTAACCAAACTATGTTACAGACTTTTCATTAAGACCCTAAAGAATCATATCAACTTGTGGAAAATTGGCATCCTATGACCCCTTTAAAGCAGTACTGCAAGTCCCAAGAAGGGGGCTCTGCTCCTCTTTTATCAGCTGTTTGGACTCTCATTCTGATGGCACCCATTCACTCAATTGGTGAGCAAGTGATGTAATGCTACATTTCTCCTAATATTACCACATATTCTAGGAATAATAAAATTACAATGTATTGCTCTTATCTGTAAGATCAAAACTGAAAGTGTAATTTAAGTTCTTTTCGGTGTTATCAGGAGAAGATGCCACAAAACGCGTATCCGCGTTTGTCGACCCCAAAGGGTTAAACACCGTAGGCTGAAGCCACTGAAGACTGATTTCATAAAGGCTAATCTGCCGTTCGCAGTGTGTGAAAACTGCATTTTTATGTGCTTCATGATTTAAGCAAAGAAATTCACCAGCAAATCCAAAAGCACTAAAGTAATTTCTGCTATTAACGTTTGTGATTTCTGCAGGTAAGAGTCCGTCTCAGGAGTTTACAGCTGTCATTCAAGCGGTCACACTTCTACAGTCCCAACAGCAGCCCATATTCAAACTGATCCATGCGGTCGCCAAGTCCAAGTTCTGTGCACAGGTGAGAATATGAGAGCAAATAATGAGACTCAATGACAACTCTTCCATTATTATCTATGCTGCAAATGTACATCGGGTTAAGGGTCATTCACACTGCCAGCGATTGTTTGCTGGCGGTTACATTGTTGGTTAGAGTTCTTTCTTTATTGGCAGCCTGCACAACTGGCTATATTAAATCACAAATGAGATGTATATGAGTATAACTCACCAAAAAAAAAAAGAAAGAAAGAAAAAATTCTGTCTTAATTTTCTCACTCACAAGTCATCTCAATCATGTTCTATTCTGATTTTAACAGTCAATCAATCAATTAATCACTCACTCAACAAAACAAAACAAAACAGTTGAGGTTTCATAATACAGCTTGTTTGCATAATATTTCATAATATCATGCAACATAAAATCCATAATATTTCAAGTCCTTTAATGGTTTTGTGTGAGGAAAAGGCCAAAGTATTATTCTATTTACTAAAAATATTCAGTGTAGCTCTCAAATCTCATTTACCTGATTTGAATATGTGCATATTCAAAATTGGTGCATCAAGAGAATTGCAAGACATCAGTCAATAACAAATCAATTTTATGGTGCCTTTTGTCATTTTAAGTTGGCAGCCTGCTGGTCCCCATTCACTTTCAGTGAATGTTCTGCTAAGCTTCTCCTTTCGTGCTCCACCAAAGCAGTGTTCTTTTAGCGTCACTGATATACTATTATAGTTTTTTTTTTATTAATTCATTTATTTAAAAAATATATATATATATTTATGTTTTTAATTTTAGTTTAAAACATTTTGTCGTTTTTAATTTTTTATATGACTATACAGTTTTGTTATTAATTTATATTTATTAATTTTAGTTTATTTAGTTTTAGTTGTTTCAGTACTTAAATGTCAAAATAATTGGAATGATGGAAATGTTGCTTTTATATATATATTTTTTTGATTTTATTTCAGGACAATTATTCAAGTACAATATTTTTTATTTTATTTGATTTATTTTATGGTTTTAGTCTTAGTTTCACTTACCCATATTAGCCTTGTACCAAATACATAAAATCATAGGTTTGGAACAATATGAGATTGAGTAGGTGATTTTCCATTTTGGATGTGCTATTCCTTTTACATTCTGGAGGAAAAGTGTTGGTATATTAATTGCAGCACTGCCTAATGCATCATATCATGAACAAGATGAATGATTATCAATGCATGAATCAAACTCATTTAGAAAGCCCACAAATTTTCACATGGTTTTCCACACATCATTTTTTATTATGTCCCTGTATGTGGGCAGCAACTAATCAAGTAAAACTAGTCAAACATCTGGTTGTGTGAAAGTAGCATACACTCAGTCTGACCGCGGATTCTGACAAGTGACAGATCATGTTAGCTTCACTGTTTGTGTTCCTAATTGGTCACTGCTTCATTGCATAAAGTTTATATAATTTAAACAACTTATTTTCTGCTGACATTGCATCGGTTCAATTTATATTAGATAATTACTAAATTGAATAATATTCAGATCATGTATTCCCGTGTTTAAAAACGTACACTTTTGCATACTTTAAAAAGAGTGTTTAGTATGAAAATAATATATTTTAAAAGAATACACTGTGGAAATAAGTGTGAAAGGAATGAAATGTTTTCGAACACTTAATTGCATGTTATTTACAATTAAATGAAAATGTGTTACGATGTATGACACGTCCAGTTATTTATTTTTTAAAGATTTGAAGTACACATTCAATACAATTAAGCACACTTCTTTTCACAAGAGCTAACATTAGACTGTATCTACAAATGCCCCTAATTAACACAGTTACTAAAAATGAGAAGTCTCTTGATAATTTCTAATTTGTTGTAAATTATTCTAGTGGCTCTCACACCTTTTGATTGCCTTTTGCATGTGGGCTGTAATAATTCACATCTGCACCTACAAAAATTGGTTGCAATCTAACAATGAAAACTCATGTTTTGCACACATATGGAAATGTGCAGTGAAGCTCGTGTGTTTTAATGTGGTTTCAGATTTTAGTGCTATGGAACTGTGAGAAGCCTCCACCACCCAGAAACAAGTGGCCCTCCATCCCAACACCCTTCTCTGTCATTGAGGGCAAAAGAAAGGTGAGAGGAGAGAAAGATGATGAAATAAATAGAAGAACTGTGTGTTGGTTTTAATTCTCGGCATGCAGTTCTTTGCACAACTACACACATGCAACAAACACTATACACACATAAACACAGACTAACCTTCTAGATAAAGACTTTTTATTTTAAATGTTTGGTTTTTTTTCAATGTAAATGTAACTATTATAGATATTAGACTTTGCAATTTTAGATTTAAAATAATAATAATTTAGTGTATAAATTGTTTTGAATCATTTGAACCATTTTCAAATTACCCAAGCAAGGTTTTGACATGTTTAGTTAACTTCTGGGGACAAAAGTGCAGGTAAGTGAAGTTAGACTCAAACTTTCTGGTGGGAAGGAAACACAACGACACATAACAGGCCAGATGTCACCATTTAAAATCACTGAAATGATTTGAAATAAAGTGTGTGTGTGTGTGTGTGTGTGTGTGTGTGTGTGTGTGTGTGTGTGATATCTGCACAGCTGTGTGTGGGTGGTTATGTGAATATTCTGAATATATCTTATCATTAGCACCTTTCAGACTTTGTCTGCTCACCGTCATCCCTCTTTGCACATGTTTTACTCATTTACATCTTCTTGACGTGTTATTTGCAGAAACAGTTAGCCTGAGTAACTTAATGTGATGATTACTCTGTCTCCTCACTTATCCTGTAGTTGTTTTATCTATTTGCATGTGTTTTCTTAAGTTACAGCGTGTTGAGCTCTCTCGGCCACCGTACATATGAAAATGTGAGGAAAAAATATCTTAGGAGAAACATTATGTTTAACTCACTATTTTGCGAAGTTAACACATTTGAAGTGAGTGAAGTGACATGTGGCCAAATAGCGCTGTACATTCACTCCCCCCACCTACAATCCCTGCCGGTACGAGACTCGAACCCGCAACCTTTGGGTTACGAGTCCGACTCTCTAACCATTAGGCCACGACTTCCCCAAAAAAAAAATTTCAGATGGAGACATCCACCATGGTGTTCCGCAAAGGGAGACCAGCGAGGCCCAGAGAGAGAGGCACAGGCTGGGTTAGGTAAGGAGAGATCCCCTAGATTTGGGTGCTAACTAAGAGCGCATTTACAGTAGATTTGTGAATTTTTTGAAAAGTCGCTTAAAACACTCTCGATAGGTCCCACAGTGAGCATACGTGAAGCACAGGAGAACTCCAAATTTTCTATATTTACACTGATCAGCCACAACATTAAAACCACTGACAGGTGAAGTAAACAGCATTTATTATATCGTTGCAATGGCACCTGTAAAGGGCTGGAATATATTAAGCAGCAAGTGAACAGTCCAGTATTTAATTTAATGTGTTGAAAGCAGGAAAAATGGGTGAAATAGCAAGATCTGAGTGACTTTGACAATGGCCAAATAATGATGGCTAGACGGCTGGTTCAAAGCATCTAATGGCAAGTCTTTTGGGATGTTCCCAGTATGCAGAGGTTAGTTCCTGTCAAAAGTGATCCAGCATCAAGGTCATGGGCAGCCAAAGCTCACTGATGCACATGGGTAGAGAAGGTTACTCCATCTGGACTGATCACACAGAAGAGCGACTATCTCAAATTGCTGAAAAACTTAACGCTGGCCATGATAGAAAAGTGTCAGAATGCACAGTGCATCACAGTTTGTTGCATATCGTGCTGCATAGCTGCAGACTGGTCAGAGTGACCATGATGACCCCTGTCCACCACTGAAAACACTGACTACAATGTGCACATGAGTGTCAGAACTGGACGATGGAGCAATGGAAGAAGGTTGCCTGGTCTGATGGATCACATTTTCTTTTGGCTCAGGTGGATGGCCAGGTATTTGTGCGTCCTGTTTTGGTCCAATATGTGGTTTATTGGGGACTCTCCACAGGCATAATGGTTTTTATACTGTACAAACTGTATTTTCTATCCCCTTACCCTGATCCCAAACCTTCCCCTCACACAAAAATTTCTGCATTTTTAAATTTGCAGAAAAACACTATTTAGTATGTGATTGGGCTGTTTTGACCCAGCGGTTGGGTTAAATGTTTAACCCAACCTTCTGGGTAGTAACCCAACCGCTGGGTCAAAACAACCCAATTGCTGGGTTTGTCCCTATTTTACCCAGCACTAGGTTGTATTTAACCCAGCATTTTTTAGAGTGTAGGTAACTAATGTCCTTGGAAATCAGTTCTAGGAGGAAAATATGGCCTCTTAATGGATAAGTTAATTTCTGACCCTGGTGGACATACAGTAATATATATATATATATATATATACACACTCTAAAAATACTGGGTTAAAAACAACCCAATTTGGGTTGTTATTAACCCATGGGCTGGGTAAATATAGGACAGAACCCATCTTGGGTTAAATTTACCCAGCAAATTGGGTTGTTTTTTAACCCAGCATAATGGGTTGATTTAACCCAGCTAATAGGGTTTCAGGTATGCCTCAGGTAAACCTTCAGGTATGATATGAATAAAAATGTTACCTAGATATACAAATATGAGGTACCAGCAGGTTTCCTAAACACTCCTACCATCCTTTCCAAGCCTGTCTGCCAAAGTCTGCCAGGTTAGTGGCATCAAATCTATGAAAGACAATGAGAATCACATCTGCACACATCTGTCTGTCATTGTAGTATGAGTTATTTCCAGCCACTAAAATAACATAAAAAAAAAACATGCTGATATGGCTGTATGAGACTAAGCTATATCTAGTCAGACAGAAAAAATGGCAAAGGGGAAAGTTCAAGGGTCACCTAGACCACTTAAAAGTGCCTTTCCATTGGGGAACTGTAAAGGTCTGATGCAAAAAACACATTGATGACGCAAGATAAAAATGTATCATCTCAAGAGATGCATTATGAATCTGACATTTCAATTATCATCATCATGACAGGCAGATCTGAGTATCATTCATCAATATGCTAACAGCTTTTGGAATTTGCATTAATGGATTTGCCTTCATGTAGTTTACAGGATTAATTTTTTCTTTTTGAAAGTTGTGTGAGAACGTTTGGATGATATAAATCCAACCATCCAATCCATCCCATTTGTTTGTTTGTTTGTGAAAAATGTAAAATGTGTTTAAAAAAAAAGTTACTTCAATCAAAGAACAAAAAGTTTAGCTAAACTTTAATTCAGATGTATTACATAAAATGTAAATATAATGTACAGGTACTAGATATGCTTTTCAGTGTAAACACCATAGCAGTGTATGTACATACATTAATATGTTACTATATAAAATTATATGCCTAAAATGCAACCATCCATTTCATATAATACGTAAGAATTGGTTATATACTGTATTATATTATCCATCTTTCTATACACCAGACAAAGGTTGCCCTAATTCTAGTCCAAGTTTAGCCTTTGATGATAATAATTAAAAACACTAAATGGTTTTCAAAACCAGTAGATCAGAAACACGCACACAGTCCAGAGCTCTAAATGAAATGCAGATACTTACTTTGAAAGGAGTGTTAATTCATGCGTCAAACAAGTGTGAAATAGATAATCAAAGTTTTAATCAAAAGCCATTTGCCAAAATTAAATCATATTGTGACTAATAAGCTATCAAACGCCACATCCAAATCATAACACGCTTTTATCTGAGTCTTGATCAAGATAAATTGGAGTTGTTTAATACTGAGATAAAAGCTTAATAGAGAAGCATGAACTTGGTTTTCACTAGAAGTGCAATCTATAGAGGTCATGAGTGGGAGAGAGTTCATTCCAGAGGCAGTGTGTGTGTGTGTGTGTGTGTGTGTGTGTGTGTGTGTGTGTGTGTGTGTGTGTGTGTGTGT